GTACTTAAGTTGCTTGGTGGTCCTGTCAGTGTGGATGCCTCTTTCTGTGGTGAGCTTGTTTTGCAGAGAGTGTCGAAGACCATTGTGGTCATGGATGCTGTTGCTAAGCTTGAGGATCCCCAATGTGAGTTATTACTGATTCGTGCGTGTACTGGGGTTTCAAAACTCTACTTTTCTATGCGCACTTGTCCTCCTCGTCTTTTTGAAGCGGTCTAGATTTCTTTTGATGTGGCCCTTCGGGGTTCTTTGGAGCACATTGTAACTGCTTCGGGGCCAGGTTTTGGTGATTGGTAATGGCGACTTGCCACCTTACCTTTTTCTTATGGTGGATTGGGTGTCTAGTCAGCGGGTGATGTTCGACACTATGCTTTCCTTACGTCGAGTTTACAGTCTTCTTGTCTTTAGGCTTCGCTTCTTCGCAATTCTGGTATTGTTGGTCCCAGGTCCGGCCTTTGATGGTGCTCTTAGTCTTTTTAATAGGACTGTGGAGACTGACCTTTTGCGTAACCCTAGTGAGATCGCTGCCCCCAAACTCATGAAGAAATTGGCAGATATATATTTCACGAAGGTCATTGCATCTGTAGAATCCACTTTCTCCTTATCTCCGCGTCAGGTTGCCTTATGGAAGTCGCAGCAGGGGGATCACACTTCTGCTTGGTTGCGAGCGGTCCCGATATCAGGTTTGGGTCAGACTATGAATGGCAAGACCGTTGTGTTCTTTGCTACCGGTTGGGTGTTCCCTTGTTCTGCTTGCTCAAGGGTTTTTGATGGGGATATTTTTAGGGATCATGCAGTGTCTTGTGCTGGGATGGTGGGTATTAAACATCGGCACAACGTTGCTCGTGATACCCTTGTTGATATTTGTTTCCGCTCTGGGATTTCTGCAAGGAAGGAGGTCAACGTTGGGTTGACTGGAAGGAACGACGGGGCTCTTCGACCAGCAGATGTGTTGCTTTACTCCTGGGATAGAGGCCTAGATGTATGTGTTGACTTGACGGGGTTTTCTCTATTGACACAATCTGGGTTGTCTGACTTCGTTCCTGGTCGTGTTGTGTCGGCTGCAGCTCAGCGGAAGCGAGACAAGTATAGGGCGCGTTGTAGGGCTATTGGCTATAGTTTTCTTCCTTTCTCCTTTTCTTCATTGGGGGAATTAGAGAAGGATACTGTTGCATTGCTGAAGCGGGTTCAGGCGTTTGCTAGGACTCAGGATATTGGTGCTCGTGCAGTTGCTCACATCTTCAACGGGATTGGGTTCGCTATAGCTAGAGGGGTGGGGGCCCAGATTGTATCTTGGCTCCCCACTAATTTCTTGTAAATCAATTGACTTTGCAGGTTTTTGTTATAATAATAATAATAATAACAATAATAATAACAATAACAATAACAATAACAATAACAATAATCTGTGAACCAAGAGCCATCTACCTGCAAAGACCATAAAGTAGACCCTTGGTTGAGTAATCCAAGATGAGCTATATAAAAACTAGGCGGGAAGAAGCACCACCATCAGCCGCCGCTGCAGAGAGGCTGCTTCCAGAAGCTTCCAGCGTAACAAAAACTGCATGTGAATCCATAACCTCCGCAAATTGCGAGAAAAGGGCCGTATAGCAGTAGAATCCCTAAAGATTCTGGAATTCCGACATAACCAAAGACTCCAAAGTGTACCAATGAAGGACCTAAGCGAGTACTAGAAGGCCCATCCTGACTAATAAAAAGACGGATATAATCTTGGATCCAATCTGAGAGAGAAAGGTCTCCATTAAATTCTGAGCGAATGCCGAGGCATCCACCCCTCCAAACTGTTCATGCACTAACGCACATCCTAAATAGATATTGTAAATCCTCTGGTGCTGAACTACAAAGATCACAAACACACATTTTGAATCGGTACACCCTAGTGATGAAGCTCCACCTTAACTGCGAGAGCACGATGTGGTAATTTCCCTAAAAACAGCTTCCATTTAGGTTGTAATTGGAGCGACCATAGCAATTTCCAGAAGTTGCCTGAGCTAGGATGCGCGAAAGTAGAAGGAAGTTGTTGTTGAAGCATAGCATAACCTGTCTTCACCGAGTACCTCCCCGAAGGAGTACTTGCCCAGTAACGGAAGTCTTCTTTTGTCGTATTCGGTAATTCCATGGCTAAAATTGTAGGAGTGTCCGCAGGAACAAACCAAATGACAATTTTGTCAGTGTCCTACCCATTTGTCAGAGGATGGAGGAAAAAACTAACTACTGTTTAGTGATATGCCAGGCTTGAACTCTGGAATGCGATCATTGATTAGGGGTGAAAGTTCGGTTTGCGGTGTGGTTTATAGCCCAAACCAAAACCAAACCACATTAATTCGGTTTTGAGATTTTTCAAACCACACTGCACCATATTACTATTGAAACCGAACCAAAGCACACTGTTTTAATTTAAATTCGGTTTTTCAAAAGAAAACCGAACCACACCAAAATTTTTCATCCTCTTCCTTTTTGCTCCATCTAACTGGTCATTCACTCCAACATTGCCCACATTGGTTGACAATCTAGGACATAAGAAAACACAAGTTTTATTATTTTTTGGCTTTATATATGTAGGTTAGACATTAATATTGGGCTAGGATATATTTTGGATATGGGCCATAATTCGGTTTGGATTTCGGTTTTTGGTTTTTCAAATCTTAAAATCGAAACCAAACCATATTAATTCGGTTTTGGGATTCCTCAAACCGCACCGAACCATATTAGAAAAAAAACTGCACCACATTTCCAATTCGGTTTGGTTTGCGGTTTGGTTCGGTTTTAAACTGCATTAGTTTCACCCCTACCATTGACCCATTTAGCTAAGCCGACCAGAGTAGAGCGACCATTACCTATTTTCCAGTTACAACCCTGTTGTAAAAGAGTATCCGCCCTAAGTAACCCTCGAAGGCCGTATGAATGGCGACCAGAAACCCTGGATCGGTTGTTAGAATTGCTTGAAAGAAAAGTAGTGCGCGTAGTGAAGACTTAGAAACTAGTAGCTGTGGGTTTGTAACAAATCTCCACACTTGCTTCATTAGGAACGCCTTGTTGTTTAAGGAGGACAAGCAATGAATTCCCAAGCCACCCATACCACAAGGAGATGCATGGTATCCTGATTAACGCAATGCATACCCTTAGAATCAGAATGCGCCCAGAAGAAGCGCATGAGTAAAGAATCAATTTTCCCTGTTACAGAGATCGGAAGCTCATAGCAAGCAAGAACATGTGACGCCATAGCTACCAGAATCGAGTTGATAAAAATTAACTTTTAAGATTGAGAAACCCGTATAGCGTTTAAGCAATTTATTCTTCCGATAATTTTGTCAATGATAAATTGGAAGTGGTCCTTCTTTTTGCCGACGAAATCAATTGGAGCTCCCAAATGGTAATTGGACACCTGAACATGCTTCATTTGGAATATAGATTTGAAGCTCTCCTGGGTAGGAGGAAAGACATTCGGGCTAAATTAATCAAAGATTTTGAAAGGTTAAGTTCCTCCCCCGAAATCTTAGTAAACCGTTAAATGATCTGCACAAAATTAGTACACGAAAGAGTAGTTGCCAGGAAAAAGATAAGAGCATCATCCGCAAAGAATAGATGCGAGATAGACAAAACTTGTTCTAGACAGTTTGATTCCTTGAAACAACTTCAGATCTTGCCCTAGGTGTAGCAAACGAGAGAAGATATCCATGCAGAAAAAGAAAAGGTACAGAGAGAGTGGATCACCTTGAAGAAGACCACATGGTGGTTAAAAAGCGATAGAGGTAGTACCATTGACAAGGGACTTATAAGAAACTGTCGAAAGACATTATTGAATCATCTCTAACCAACGATTCGGAAATCCATAGGCTCTCAAGATTCGCAAAAGAAAAGGGATGGGCTGGTGCTTAGATAATGATGATCCGTTGGATGGACGAATCATTGGCGGAAGTAACTTCGGGGTTTGTACTTCAGCCTTACATGCAGAGGCGATGGCTTGCATGTATGGGCTGCAATGGGCTTCTGATCGGGGGTTTCATTCCATCACGGCGTTTACGGATTCCTATAATCTTGTTACCCTTCTTCGTGGGGATGGTCAAGGAAACATTGATTACCTTTGGTTTATTCGCAAGATTAAGCAATCCGACTTAGCGAAACCTTCCAGTACTGTAATGTTCACAAGGCAGATTGACAGCGTGTTCATCGTGCTCATCAAATCGCTGCAGAAGCTGCTGTTCATTTAATTTGCTTTAGTATTAATATGTAGTGTGTTTTATCCTTTGTCAATAATAATAATAATAATAATAATAATAATAATAATAATAATAACAAAATAATAATAATAATTAATAATTAAAGATAATAATAATAATTAAATATTTAATAATAATAATTATTTATATTTAATAACAATAACAATAATGCCATAATAATAATTATAATAATAATAATAATAATAATAATAATAATAATAATAATAATAATAATGAAATCTGCTCTGCTTTGCTCTGCCCAGAAGCTCAAAAGAATAGGGCCTAAGCCAATTATCAATCATGTTATTAATATGTAAAAAAAAAAAAAAATTATATAAGTGCAAACCACAAGGTTCAATTAAAAATAAAATAAAAAACTCAAAGAATAACTCAATTTTGGTTTTACAATGGCAGTTGCAGTTTTGAAAAGTCTTTAAATTTTTTTTTATCGATTACACGTCTATAATAGTAGCAATCCGGGGCAACGCCAAGGCTACTCAGTACTCACTAGATGTAGCCCAGTACATACACCAATGGAGTAATACTCTGTATTCTTTAAAGAATTTAAACCTTGATTCACTACGTATGTGAGTATGTGGCAAATTTAACCCATTTGCATGTGACAACGTTCTGGAAATCCGTCATTGACAGCATCACTTCTCTAATATCCTAACTAATAGCACAGAGATCAACGGGCCATTCATTATTCATTAATTATTAACCAACAATTTGATCCATTTTTATTCAAATAAACTAATCTAATTGTAAGTATTATGCACAAATCAAAGGACCTTTCTATAACCTGTCGGGAGATCCATATGGTTGGGTAGTTTCCTGTTGATCCCAACGAGAAGAGAGAGAGCACACAAAATTTTATTAAATTCTCTGCATCTTCTATCAACTGAATCTAAACTCTTTCACATTTTCTGGGTTTATTTTATTCTTTATTTATTTATATTTTAATCACATTGCTCTATGAATTAAGTGATTCATTCTTCAAGAACATTGAGATTATAATTCATTTCTTGGGTTTTGATTGAAGTTTCTGCCACATTTTTGGGAGTTTTTGTTGCACTGTAGGAGAAGGCAAGGGAAAATAGGAAGTGGGTTTGATATATTTCTGGGTTAATATTCTGGATAATTTCAAAATTTTCTGGGTTTTCAAGGAATTTTCTTTTTGGTGGAGGTTAAGCTAAAAAAATTCCAATTTTCTGGGTTTTTGTTTTGGTTGAGAGAGAACTAAAAAATTCCCACATTTTTGGTAATTTTTAATTTGCACCACAAAGCTGTCCATTTCATGAATGAATAGTCGTGTGAAATCATATGTCTACTAAGAAGGAAGAAAAGGTGACATTTGTTTTAAGTGGAAGGGTCCTGATGTTTTGTGTCATGGGTCTTGGAAAATAACATGTTACCTAGCTTTACTGGTACTGTAATGGTGATATTGGTCTAAAACTGTTTCGAGAACTCGAAATAACCGCCATTTTTGTAGGATTGTATGGTCATAGAAATGGAGGATAAGAATGAGGAAATGCGCTCTTTGGCTTTAACTCCAACATGGTCTGTTGCATCTGTTTTGACATTCTTTGTTGCAATTTCTTTGCTGGTTGAAAGATCAATCCACTGGCTGAGTAATGTGAGTTTTCATTCAATATTCAAAATTTACTGAATTTTTAGATTTTGGGCAACTTCTGTTATTAATTTCCTGTTTATGTTTAAGTGTTGGTACTGAAAACAAGTTGGTTTGAATCCGGTTATATGTAATTATAACTAGTCTTGAGTTGTTTTCGCTGTCAACTGATTACATGTTTGCTGACCTGAGAATCTATTTGTTTAGTAGTCAAAAATCACCTTTTGATCGAATATCTAATTTGTTTCAACAAAAAGAGGATGTTTTTCATGATCTTTTGTAACTAACTGCTGCAATTTTCACCTGCTATTGTTCTTATATTCCAGTGGCTTGATAAAACACGTCGAAAGCCGTTGCTTCAAACTGTCGAGAAAATGAAAGAAGGTACTTGCAATAATGAATGTTGGTGCTTTGTTGAAGAGTTAATATTTTCGTGATGAATGTCTGAAAGGCAATGCTACAGAACTTTAGATGCTCTTTGTATAGCTTGGGGCTTATCTCAAAACTTACTAATTTTATCTCTGTATGCAGAGTTGATGCTCCTCGGCTTTATATCTCTTCTTCTAACAGCAACTTCAAGCACTATATCCAGCTTTTGCATATCTTCAAAGTTTTTTGGTGGTGTATTTTCCCCGTGCTCTGAATCTGAAGTCCATGAAGCTTCTGAAGAGGATTTATCCGAAGGACGTAAACTTTGGACATCATCTCCTCAAAATTTCAGGAGATTGATGAGTGTCCTTCATCAAAATAAGTGTCCTGAGGCATGTGTTTTCTTATGTTTATTTTATTTTAAAAGCTAATAGAGTTGTTACTTCACTAGAGCACCTTTCATAAATGATGCTCCTTATGTCTTTTGAGTCACTGATTTCACTGTTTCCAGTTTGAATAATTGGGTTTTGAAATTTATCTGCTTGTTTTGCGTGTAGGGTAAAGAACCATTTGTATCATATGAAGGCCTCGAGCAGTTGCACCGATTTATCTTCATCATGGCAGTGACACATGTATCTTATAGCTGTTTAACAATGCTGCTTGCAATTGTGAAGGTTAGAGTCATTGTTCCTTCCACTTTTCATATACTCTGTTTAGTTTGGAACTAAACAGAGTATATGCACCTAATAGACGTTATGATCATCAATGTCAGTCATTTTAGTTTTCCCTTTCAAAGTAAGGATTGTTTCCTGGGATGTGCTTGGTAACTTTCCATTCTCATCCTACTGTAATTTAGTGTAGTTAAGGCATTTGGAATTGAGTCACTATATAGTTTTCTAGGATGAAAGGTAAGGTTGTCTTATCCAGCTCTTCCCACAGGATTATTGCATGTATAACAGACTCTGTTCTGCTGAAACATGTGTCTGATCTGTTGACTGTCAATTTACTTGCTTTTTAGTGATAACCAATCACTTGATTTACATTATCTTAAAACTAGCCTCTTCTAAAACCTCCCCTTCTTTTCTTGCTGAATGTTTATTGCCAGATACATAGTTGGAGAAAATGGGAGGACCAAGCTCAGTTGGATCGGCATGATGCACTCACAGGCAAGTTGTCTAGTTTCAGCTGAAATAACGACTATCTGATGGAAGTTGAATTAAATGTAAACTTGTGTTAGTATTAGTATATGTAGGCAGCGTGATGTATGTGTCAGAGATTAGCTTTGGTGATATTGGTACCCTATTGTCAAATGGTTAAGCCATCCCAGATCCTATTGAGGTCAAACTAATACTTTTAAATGTAAAACCCATCTGATACCCCCCAATGGACAACTCTTAAGTTCCTCACGATAAGAGTAGCATTTAGCGTAAAAAGTTCTATAGGAAGAATATAGATGTATAGGTTGCAAATATGCAGGCAGCCTGCCATTCCATAACCTGTTTCTTTATTTATCGTAATTCTGTGAATGAAAAGGAGTAAGTATAGAGTTGTAGGAGATGATATCAGACATTAAAAAATGAATAAATGTGAAAAATTACATGGGCCTTTTTCGTATTCTAAAAGAGTTAAAAAAAAAAAAAAAATACCTTCAGTGAACAGATCCCTGATAACATCTTGCAATAGCTGAATAGCATTTCTTTCCCATTGCAGCTTATTCCTTGCAATATCAATATATGGGTGTATCCTATCTTTAGCAAGAACAAATTTTGGATAGACCTGTGCCCTCATTGCGACTGATTGAGCTGTAAGCCCATTTAGTGTACAAATTTCTTTCGTAGGCATTCTAAGATGCCAGAAGAGAAGAAGGCATATGCATCAACTGTAGTGAAAATCTTTGATAAAGATGGAATAAAAGATTTGGTTAGCCCATGCAGAGTAGTCGTTGAAAGAAAGATTTGGTTACATCTGCTCTTCAATCAAAATTAGCCATATATATTACTAAATTATTATGTAGTTAATATGACCTGTTATTTTAAGTAATTACTCATTTACTAATATATATTACTGACTTATATTTGATAAGTTTAGTATATTATATATGCAGTAGAAAGAATACTGTTTAATTTAGTATATAGAAAACCTTTTAATAGAATCTAGCTGCTTCTGTTAGAACTTGACCATTGCTGCAATTTTTTTTCCATGTATCAATCACCTCCATGACTCCACCTAGGATCTGAATTGTCTTTTTAAGTTAGCTAGGATTCTTGATTAGTTCCTGAGCAGTGCATGAGGCTTCAACAAGGCAAAGTGGAAGGACATCTAATATCTAAATTCTTTTCCTCAATCCTTTTGGAGAGGTGATTTTGAGACAAGCTAAACCTTAATTTTTGAACATGACCAAGATCTGGAAGCAAGCTCTTTCAAATGATGCAATGTGTTCCTTATGTGAACTTTAAATTTGAATCTTCATGGCTGAAGATTGTTCTTGGCTTATTTGAGTTCAAAGAATCTGTTTTCTTGGTGATCCATAAGATACAGCCTTGTTACTTTGATTTTACCAGTTCGAAAGACTTAGTAATTTAGGATATGCTTTATATTGACTGATAAATATACCTGGCTAATAGAAAATTCCTCCTATTCATAATCATTTGTCACCATTTGTAGTGCTGAAAGCTTTTCTTACAGTCCTCCTGGAATAAGTTTCTTTTCTGTGTCGTAGGCTTTCCTACTCTCAAAATACCAATAAAGACACACTGAATCATACCTCCTCTTCTTTAATTATTGCCACAATTGGGATTTCATGCATTCCAGTGCTCTAATATAATTCAATTTATTTTTAAGTAACAATTTTAGAATTTTGATATTATGAAAGTATACTTCGAGACGAATTTACCTCACCAGACTATATTTCCCCTTACGTAAAAATCACAATAGATCATCACATGGTATTGTGTGATTAGTGTAAAAATTTAATTGTTACAATAATTAAAGAACAAAAAAAAATATTTCTTATAGCTTTGATATTATGAAATTATAATTCAAGAATAAAATACCTCACCTGACTATATTTTTCCTTACGTAAAAATAGCAATAGATCATCACATGGTAGGCGTGTGAATAGTGTAAAAATACAATTATTACAATAATTAAAGAACAAAGAAAATATATCTTATTGCAGTACTGGCATAGTTGATTCACGATAAGGTTATGGGCTATGCACCTTTTCCATTTGCACCAGTTTATCTTTATGTGCTGACTAAAAACTGACTTCTTTAGCTTTCTTAATAATTGGGACACTCCAAAAATTGGACGCACTGGAGCTGATATGTCTATATTGAATTTCCAAATGCTGAAACACAAACATACTATTATATATATGTACTGATATTGGTATGGCATAGCTTGCTGAAATGATGACATAAACGGATAACAGTCAGCTTGTTTTTCAACAGAGATCACAAGGGAGTTGGTAATGCGAAGGCAATCAAGCTTTGTCAAATTTCAAGCGTCAAATATTTTGACCAAGAGCAATTTCTGGATTTGGGTGGTAAGCATGAATGTTATGCTTGATTTTCTGTTTATGTAGATTTCAACCTGAAATATCTTCTTTGTGGATAAATAAACATGTAAGGCTTTGTACATCTTGACATTGCTCTCAGCAGGATGCACATTGTCTTGTACATATTGGTTGGTGCTGTTTCATAACTTTCTCAACTTGATAGTTCTTGTACTCAGTGAGGTCTCAACTGTCCCAAGCCTTTAATAACAAGAAAAGAAAAGAAAAAAGAATAGAAGCATGGATTCAAGATAGTCACGACCACCATATTCTCCAATTAATCCCTATTGGGAAAGTTTTCAATAGGCCTGGCCTGGCTTTGATGTATTTTCACTGTGTTATAAGCTTACATTTGGCATCATATGTTCTAGGTACCCTGAAGCTCAGTCAATTTTAACAGTCTATTAACTGATTCTACCCAATAATTAGATATCATTTTCTGATCTTAGAAAGTGACATGTTGATTTTTTTCGATGTATGAGCATTATAGGGATACTCATTAGTCCAAAATTGGGTAATAAATCAATATATATCTGCACCATATTTTTTCATGTCTGAAAAGTAGTCTACTAGGATAGAGGGTAACTTGTGAAAAGACTCTAAAATACAAAGAATTAAAGCATGGAATTCTTGATGAGAACTTTTCAACCTTTCCATTTACATAGAGAAGTATATCTAAAGTCAGTATTGTATATGAAGTTTAGATTATCTAGTTTACATGTGTACAGTGTACTATTAATTATGTTACTGTTGTCATAGGGAAAAGTATACTAAGTAGGGAGGACTTAAGATATTTGAAGTGACGTAAATTGCAAATCTCAACTCTCAATTCATCACTTTGGAATTTGTCTGTAATTATGTGCTTCTTTTATACTAGAGATGGGAAAATTTGCTTGCAGTGTTAAGATATATATGTTCTATGTTAATCCGGTGGGATCATTGTTAAGAGAACGAGATGTGGCCCAATTAGTTGAATTGCTGCCACCATTTTAATACATGGGCCTGTGCATTGAATTTAGTTCAAGCTCATTGTTTTGACATAGTTAGGGTGTCTTTAAACTTATCTTAACTGATTACTTGATTAGACTTTTATAGAACTTAATCATATCTATTAGCTTTTGACCAAATTATTTATTAGTTTATCTATCATCATTTAAACAGCAACGAACAAAAATTATTTAATCAATCCAAATAGATTGTAAAGCTTTAATGCATTTGATGGGGAAAAGGAAAAATTATCGGAATTTTAATCTTATATGTCCTTGAATCTCAAAATTGAAAGATAATCAGTTTCAGCTATTTGGAATGACTTATAGGCAGAATCCACAATTCTTTTGTTAGTTGTCCATTCAATTAAAATTAAATAAGTCATATGTTCATTCCTATAAAGTTGCAAGTACATCTTTGTAATAATTAGTTAGATGTAGGATTGAGGAGCTAAGTTAACAATGTGTTTTTACATTTGTTTCTATCTCAACTTATTTACAATTATCTAAATATACATGTCGTTTATGATATAAAAGGCACATCATTGGTCATTATTTTAGGCCAATTTTTCTTTATTTTTATTTTGTTGTTGCCGTAGGTTAAAAATATTGGTAGAGGCTTAGATAATGCTTTATTTACCCGACATGCTTTATTCTAATATGATGCTTTATAATATTTGTGTTTTTACTTCATCTTATTCTATACAATATATAGTTTTTTTACTTTTATTTTTCAAAGGGGTGGGTGGATGTTGTATCAGCATGTCTGCTGATTTTATGTTCTTCAGCAAGCAAGAATTTGTTATTTTGAAACTCCTTGGATGAATCTTCTTGGAGAAGGTTTAGCTAAAACTTTATACTGTTAATGCTAGACTCAATTGTTGGTTGTATCAAATCTTCTAAACTGACTTTTTAATTGTATGCCAGACATGTTTCTTCAGGCAATTTGGACATTCAGTGGTTCGTGCTGATTATCTTACACTACGCAAGGGATTCATTATGGTACTTAAATAATTAAACTGAAAATTTGTGTCTTTCTATTATTTGATTGAAATAGCATGCTATTAGAAATTTGCTTGGAGACAATTAGACAAATAAAGATGGATTGTTGCATGGTTGAGAGCTAAAGATGGTGCAATTTATGGCTTGTTGTTTTTAAGTACACTTACTTATAGTCCTCATAAATTCAAATTTTGCAGTAATGCTCTCTCTTGTCATCCATAACTAATCCTGTTATGCATTTTCTTTGAGCCCACCAATGAAAATTTTAATGTGCATGTCCAGCTCTTCTTGAGCTTTAATGAAATTTATTGGTGCTTTTGTTGTTATTAGGACGATTTCCTGCCAAAGCAATAGCTAATTTCAAAATGTCGAAATTTTCTTCTTGTGCTCTAGTTTTTCAAATATTTAAACTTCTTTTGTTATTCTTGACAGAACCATAAACTTAGTAGAAGATATGATTTTCACAGCTATATGGTTCAATCTATGGAAGAAGAATTTCAAAGAATTGTTGGTGTGAGGTAAGCTAGAAGATGTTTTCCTGCTGCATTTTTTCTTTAATCTTTGGATATCTATATTAAACTTTTTTGGAATTGCATAGACATTATAAGGAGAGTTTCATCGACTTGTGAAGTTATGCCATTTTCTGTTGCCTTTATCTTTATATCTTTTAATCACAATTTTATCAGACAATAATGTACTATCAATTTTCTGAAGCACTGCTCTATCTTTTGCAGTGGTCCACTTTGGGGATTTGTAGTTGCTTTCATGCTGTTTAACATAAGAGGTGAGGATGTTTAATGCATTTAAGGTGAATGTTCTTTATTGTGAACCATTGGGGAATAATTGTTGTAGATTATAAATGTTTACCTTTCTGTTTTGTAGATCTTCAAATATTGGTATACTCTATTATTTTACTGATTACGCCTGTGTACAATTAGATAAACCAATATTTCTTTTACCTCGTTGAACTAAATTGCAGCACCTTTGTGCCATAGAATTATAACAGGAGTGCCTTCCTTTTAGATGGGGCTGACGTCGTTTGAGGAACTATACTAATTGGTTTTCCTTGTTATTTCCAGGATCAAACCTATACTTTTGGATAGCCATATTACCTATAGCAGTAAGTCTGATTTCATTTGTATGTTTAGGTCTTTGCTTTCAATGCATTATTTACCTGTAGAGCTGTAGATGTATGGATGCTCCTGCATCAATACCTTGAAAGTTGCCATGGCATATATCATACTTCTGACTATTGAATAGAGCCTTGACTTTTGTTTCTCACTCCCTTCCAGCCCCCCAAAAATGAAGTGCATCTCATGTTTACTAGTTTTGCTTTTTTTTTTTTTTTTTTCCCCTCACCCTGTGGCAACCACAAAAAGAAGAATAGATCTTACCCAAAGCAGGGTATAGGGAGGTCCAAATGTATGCAACCTTATGGATGATTTGCTTACACTGATGGAGAGACTAATACTAATATGTGGCAACATTGAATAATATTATTTAAATTGCTGTCAAGGGAAAAAGCAAAAGACCTCCTATTCTGGTATCCTTTATTGATTGCTTTGCTTATTTTCATGGATAACTTGGTATCTGCGTTGAAAATGCAGCTCGTTCTTTTGGTGGGTACTAAGCTTCAACATGTTATAGCAACCTTAACGCTTGAGAGTGCTGGACTATCAGGGTTCTTTACGGGAACAAAGTTAAAGCCTCGTGATGATCTCTTTTGGTTTAAGAAGCCAGAATTGCTGCTATCCTTGATTCACTTTATACTTTTCCAGGTAGGAAAACTTATATGCCAGTTACCTTCTGTTTATTTTGTTTGAGTTAGTTATACACTCTGCTGTGTAGCCTCTTATTATTTATTCCTTGTGCATTTTTGCAGAATTCCTTTGAGCTTGCTTCTTTTTTCTGGTTTTGGGTACTTCCTTTTCTCACCTTATGTTTATTTTATTATGTTGTCAAAGATTGTTGCTTTATGATGATAAAGAATGAAAGACAGTTATTTTGAAAGTACTTTTTCTCCTTCCTCAAATTGCATCCCACCGTGAATGTGATTTTAGGATATCTATATGAAATAGATGTATTTAGTTTTGGGCGAAAAGGAGAAGCATAAGTTTTTTTGTCGATTTTCTTTTTAAATGGTTAATGGTTGTCACTGATGATATGATTATCCATTTTACAGTGGCAGTTTGGATATGATTCTTGCTTTATAAGTAACCATCTTCTGGTCTACTTGCGGCTTTTATTGGGGTATGTTTAGCTGTTTACCTTAGCTTTGAAAATACATATTAGCTATTAGGTAATTAAAGGTGTTGCATGGCTATCTTATTACAGATTCTCTGGGCAGTTCCTCTGCAGCTACAGCACTTTGCCACTGTATGCACTGGTTACTCAGGTAAATGGAAGCTGCTTGGAAAATATGGTCTTTTTTTTTCTTTTTATTTATTTTTATTTAATTGTTTTTTTTTTTGGTTGGTACTTCTTCAACTGAAAACTGTGATGTAACTAATGGGGAAGAAAAAGAGGAGAGAGAGAGAGAGAGAGATTAACATTCTTTGAACCTTGAAGGTTATATTTATGCTTATGGCTTCTATTATTATAACCTATCAACTTATCAAATGCAATATTGAATATTGTTATGATGTTGAGTTTTGTGGGACCCTTAAAATTTTTGGTTCCTATGGAACTATGGAAGTAGCGATTGAATATTTTCAATAACATTGCTGATAAATATGGAAATCAGCTACTAATGTGTGATTAGTTTTCTCATATGTAGCTATATGTTTACCCATCTTCCTTATGTTTTTTGATGTATCTTTTCTTTAAAACTATCACTATAATATACTTCCTCATGGTGACTTGACTTTGGCTACTCCCCTTACCCCAGCAACATGTATCATATACTTTAGGTTCGCATGTTTCCATTATCCTCTACTATTTTTCTTTACTTTGTGCTTCTTTTTGGCTTGTCTTAGATGGGAACAAATTACAAGGCAGCATTAATTCCTCATAGAATTAGGGAGACTCTTCATGGTTGGAAGAAGTCTGCGGCAAAGAGAAAGAAGAGGCTCGGTATGTATGGTGATGATTCAACCGTACATACAGATGCAAGCACGGTAATTTCATTAGACGAAGATGACAGTCACATGCTTGATATCCCTGTTTCTGGGGCTGCTACACAGTCTGAAATTGAGCTACAATCACCTTCCACAGCAGATGCAAGTCCACCAGTTGCCAATGAAAGTTCCAGTCGTGTTGGTACTCCTCTCCTCAGACCATCTGCCTCTATATCTGCAAGAATACCGAGTTCTCAGCAAATTGACATTCCACGGTGTTCTTCAATGCCAAATAGAAGAACTGATCAGTAGTTTAATGATAGGATCATAGTATTATGACATAACGGGAGTTTGTAGAGAATCTTCCTGTTTATAGGTTTTCACACGATTTATACAACAAATAAATCAATAGGTTATAGGCTTACTATATTGGATTCGGATCCTCTCCAGAAAGTGGACCGTCTAGTTACTGGTGGATTAGAGAAGGTATGAGGGGTGGAGGGTTTTTTATTTTTTTTTATGTACATGTATTTTTTTTTTTTTTAATTTTTCCTCTCAGTCTAGTAACTGAATGGTCCATTATTCGGAGAGAATCCTGTCTAGATTGTACTTTTGTAACATGATGACATTCTCAAAATGCTAATTGATGGACATGATTATACAGAAACAATTTTTTTTTTTTATTGCAGTTATTGCTCTGTGTCAAATAAGAGAATTGATTCAAAGTGACGGAAAAGAGTTTGTCAGATATATGCAGTTTATTATCAGAGTTGCACTCCAAATGAGCTTTTATATTGTAATACCATTGCTATGAGATCATTTATCACCAGGATCAGGCTCATTAACTACCCCAACATGTCCTGGATGATGAAAATTCTTCTGTGGATGAAGCATATGAGTCGGATTCATTGATTCCAAGCCTTGAGCAGCATTCCCTTTGATGAAATCCAGATGAAATGGAGGGGGGGATTTTGTATCACAGGTGTAACAAAAATCCCCGAACTGACAACACTTGACATTTCCACCGTAGCAAGGTCCACAATTACCATCAATCGAACAACATCCTTCTTGATTTGGATCATGGCGGGGAATGTAGGAAGCTAGAGATACCCTGTGAGCTAATGAAAGGTTCATCCATGGTGAGAGTAGAAGAGAGAAGAAACACAAGTAAAGGGTGTGTATCGATTTTATAGCCATTTTTTTTAGACTTGCTTTCTGCTATTATCGAGTAGGTCTTTGCTAGTGTGCTGGTTTTATAATTATTTATGGAGCATGCATTGTAGTGTGATGCTGGTTGTGTAAATTCTACCGTCATTCTATACTCAAAAATCATGCTACTTGTGTGAGTAGAAATTTTGTGTTTGTTAGGCTTCAAAAAATAACAACCTAGCTTATGCAAAAGAAATTTAGGGCAATAAGTATACTGTGATGGTTTTGTATGTAGGAATTGAAGGTGAAAAAGGAAGTGCAAATTCATGTAAAAGACAATGTAACGTATACAGTTATGTTAAGATCAACCCCATTAACTAAATTAAATAAGGAAAAAAAATTAAGTTACAAATGGTATGTTAAAAAAAATCATGTGTGGAAAACTATCAACTCGTGACAAATACTTGACCAACCCGCATTAGTCGAGGCATATGGAAATCGGAAAAATCGCTAGAGAGATCAAATATTAATGAAATTTATTTATTTATCTATTTTTATTTTATTTTTGAAAGGAAAGATACAAAAATTAGGTAAGTTTTCTCTCAAAACTATACCCTAACTTATCTAAAGAAATTAAATAAGAAAAATTAGCATCTACATTGGATCAATGTTTACATAGTCTGTAATTTTATGGCATACAGTTGCAACATAATCTGCTGCACGATTGATTTCTCTATACAAATGGCACGAAAAAACAACCTCTAAGAGCCAACAACTTCTTGACATCATTCATTAGCAATTAAATTTTCCAAGGACAACTAAAAGGCTATCACCTTCAATAAAAAGTTGTCGTATATTATGTTCAATAGCTACTAAATGACTGTTACAGAGAGCTGTAGCTTCTGCAATAATAGGAGTCGATGTACCAAGATATGTTAATGAAATACGTAGTACTCCCTCCGTCCCATAATACTTGGGACGTTGGGGTTGACACATAGTTTAAGAAAATTAGTAGTGGATCCATTTAAAACATTTGTTTATTATATAATAGATTCTCTTTTGTATTTTTATATTGCAAGAAACAACAAGTGAGGGTGAGGTGGGATTAGTGAGGAGAGAGAAAATGTGAAAAAATATTATTTTATTTATAATCCCATTTCATATTGAGTAACGTATCAAGTATTGTGAGACAGACGAGAATGAGAACTGTGTCAAGTATTATGGGACGGGGAGAGTAGATACGAACTTTCACTGCACACTAGCAAGTCCAAAGTAGAAGAGGAGCGCCAAAAATAGTACTCATACGTACCCCCAAACCACGTCACACAATCTGCCTTCATTTTAATTTCTTCTTCAACAATATTCTTCTCTCTACTTCTTCACTCTCTCTCTCTCACTCTTTCTTCATTGAAGAATCTCCATATTCTCTCTGTAAGTTCTCTTCAATTTCTTCTTATACTAAATTTCAAATCTTTAATTAATCTGCATTGTTCTTTTGTGTTGTTGATAATCATCTTTTTGTTGAATGCTGATTCTTGTTTCTTTAGTTAATTTAATTTTTTTTGATGTTTGATGGTCTAAAAATTGCAGAATTTGCGATTATGAGAGAATTACTGGTTCAATATATTGTTATTTATTACGAATTTTGTCTTTGGTTTTTGAAAATTTTAAATTTTGGGGTGTTTATTATTTTTTTCAAAATTTGTGAAATGTATGATTGAAATAGTTTGTCATTAAAGTTGTTTATAAGCTATGGTGCTCAAGCTCTTCATTTCACCTGAATTACCTGTGTTGGATACTCGACGCTCTGAAATGGGTATGGACACTTGACACTTCATTTGGGGCCAAAATTAAATGAGAATTTCAAAACATTAGCCGAGTTGGAATCTAGATGTTTCTTTTGTATTCAGAAATTGTATTATCATCTATAGTACCGTAGTTTTTGATGTATTGTCGTATGTACTCATGGACAAATTGTCCCTTGATTAATAATATGCACTTGTCTGATTTGTCTCAAAAAACAAAAAAAACGTAGTTTTTGATTTATAATAGTTGAACGAAGTGAGTCAAAGTGACTATTTGGTTAGTTATGTTATGTGGTATTTGAAATGATTAGGGATAATTTTATTTCTCTTTTATGAAAATCTATTTGGTATGACAATTTTAATGTATTTTTCTTGATGTTTACCTTCCAGGTCTCCAGGATACAAGTAGCTGCTGGTTTAGGACTATATTTGGTGATCTTTCGTAAGCCTTCCATCACCATGTACACCTCCTACTGTATAATTGGCCATTTTTGACATTTGTTCTCCCTTGCTTGAATTAGTTTGTGTGATATGATACACAGGATATCTTAAATTGAATGAATTTTTGTTGATATATATTCTGATGGTGCATGGAGATTGAAGAGCAATGAAAAAACACATATTAGCTTGATGTTGATGTTTGGTATTATGGGTTTATTCCGTGATATTTTGGAAATTTAATTACATTCTGACGACTCTTGAAGCTTATGACAACTGGAAAACATGTTTGCTTGCGTTTTTTCCCCTTGAAATGGTCATGACCTCTATGTATTTTTTTAGTTCCATAATTACTTTAATTGTCACATGCTAACATTTGTTTGGGGAGATAGGGAGAAAAGATACACAAAGACCTTTAATTCGTTATTCTAGTGGCTTGCGACTTTGTCAGAAAGGGGCATCTACCCAGAGGGATGATTCTAGTTTTTTTTTTTCTTTTTTTTGAAGGTTTAATGCTTGTGGAAATGTGATTAACTATTATATTCTGCATTTTCCTTACTCATATGGCTAGCTCAAGCCTCAAGGTTATTTTCCTCTAAATTTTACAAGGGGAAGCTAGATTCAAATTTAAACCCTTTTTTTTTGTTCACCCAACGGAGAGGTGAGGCAGCCAGGCAACCCTGTTTTTCTCTTAATTCTTATGTCATGCCATCCAAATGAGATTCTTTTACATATCTTCATGCAAGAAAGGGAAGTAAGTGGTAGGTTAGTACTTGATACACCTGCTAAAATTTGTTACCTGCGTGCATGTTATATTGTGTAACAACTTAAACCCTCCTCACCTTTAGTTAATTCCACTATTAGATTTAGACAATGACACTTTAACAATATCTGGTAATATTTCTGCATTGTTATTGCATGAGCTTTCTTCTGGCTTAGGTTTTTTTAATCTAAAAGACCATTAATGCATCATGCCTTTTTTATATTACTTTTTGAATGGTTTTTCAATTTGTTGTTCATCCCCAGACATGGAGGCGGCCAGCTCTTGCAATTCATCTTCCAGAGATTGTAACAGGGATATGGAGCTGCTGCTTGAAGCTTTCGGTTCCACTTTTTCACTGGAGACTTTAGCTTCTGCTTACTCTCAAGCAAATAGTAATGTGGACTTGGTTGGTGTCATTCTTTACGAATTACAGGGAACTACTGCAGCAACTCATAAATCCAAAGATGGCATAAATGCAACTTCTTTATCATCATTAGATTTATGTGCTGAAGGTACCTCAAAGTATCTATGTATTGATGAAGGAAATGGTAAAGGTGCCGCAAACAACTATGTTACTGGAAATTCTGGAGGAGAATGTCTGAAGTCAATAATGGCAACAAATGAATCTACAAAATTTCAATCATCTGAAGTTCACTCAAATGAATCTATTAGAATTCAATCATCTGAAGTGCACTCAAATGAATCATTTTCTGCGTCATGTAATAATGCTGGGAAGGATGATAGCTTGCATGCAGACATCGAAGACTTTCTTTTCAAAATGCTTGGAGATGGGTTTCAACTTGACACGCAAATGATCCATCAAGTTCTTGGTGAGTTGTGTTTTCAGTTCAATCACTCCTTTTGAATTTCTGACGTATGTTAATCACATGATCTTGTATTCTAGATGCTGCTCTACACAACTCAAATGTTATTTTTTCTCAAATGTTTATTGTATTAAAGGCTGGCAATGGGTGACGGTGGTTTTTTTTCTCTTAAAATTGATTAATTTCTAGACATAAAGTTTTGTCAAAACTCCCATTGTCCCACTGAATATCTTAACTATTCTCATGGCAAAAACTCAGTGTAAACTGACGCTCCTAGTGGGTTAAAGCTTCATATAGATATCTTAATAGTAAATGCTACTTGGACTTGGTTTTTTGGCTAAACACACCTTTTTGAATCCAACACAACAAAAATATGAGGAATCCATCAATTATCCTTTATTGTTAACTTCATGCCACTTTGAATAACTAATAAAGACTAAAATTGATCTGAAGGCTGTGAAGAGATGCTTACAAGAGTGAGATCTAATTTCATGGATTAATATTTGGAAGGCAATCTCTCTCTCGTTCTCATTCTCAACTCTAACCTACCTCTTGTTTATAGCATGAGTACAATGCTATTGTTCTTTCTGCTTTTCCCCTGAAGTGACTTGATACTGGTTTACAATATATATCTTTTAAATTTGTACTTACTCCTCTTTCCGAGGTTCACTATTATATTAATTTGCTTTGTGATGGGGTATATGATGTAGAGAGAATGCTGAATTTGCAGGGCTCTGTGGATATGATCTGGAAAAGGTAGAGCTTTCTTTCATTTAAAGGCAGAAGATATAGGTTTAAACTTCATCTTTTGATTGTCTTGTTAACATATTAATTACTTGTATATCATGTTTATATAGCTGCCTAACCTTGTGGAGAGCTATAGGTTTTGTTGCATCCAAGACCGTATTAACATCATGAATTTCTAAAGCTTTTTTTTCATTTACAGCCTCATCAAAACTAGTGCCCAATGTCATTACCTGAAATTTTCCTCTTTGCAAAGATATTTAGTCAATTCTTTTGTCTTACCCTCCCTTTCCTTTGACTTTTTATAATATCAGTTCCACAGTTAGGATTTATAGCAAATTTCATTACTTAACAAGTCGTTTGAGTAGTAAAATTAAAAATAAAGATTTTATTTCATTGTTGCCCTTTAAAATATGGTATCATTGGTATGTAATACACTCCTTTAGAGGAAGAAAGTCAAGCTGAACTTTTAAGGGAAAATATGGAACTGGGGACATGGGAAACCTAATTCAATATCCCTGTAAAGATCAGAAATACTACCTTCGTTTTCCTAAGTCTTACTCACTTTTCGTTTTCATCCGTTTTCTAAGTTCTACTCACTTTTACTTTATTTCTTTTATGACAATTTTGTATCCATTTTTTATCATCCACAACCCCACTTTGTGGCGCCCAATTTTATTAAGCAAATCTCTTACTTTCTATCTCTCCTCTTTAATACAAAAGTACCCACATGTATGGTCCCTATTTCTACTTTTCCTTGGTTTGCATGGCTACAACCTAAGGAAAACTTTGGTAGTATGATATGTATTATGTATTACAATCCCAAGGGTTGAATAATATATATGGGGCTCATAAATTTAACTGGATGTACTTCGTTTAATGTTAATGATGAATGCTCTTTTATTTATTTCAATAAATAATTAATAAAAAAAATCCAGTTATATATTGTATAAAAGTAATACTTTGCATTATTATATCATAAATTATAATGTGGAAAACTAAATTACAAAGATTGTATGATGTGTACTTTGTCTACTACTCCATATATATAAAAGTTTTTCATCTAACCCCTTCAAAACAAAAACAAAAAAAAATGAGTTTCATTTTTTTTATTTTTTATTTATCCATCATGATAAAATAATTTAATAATACCATGCTCAATCCGTTTCTTATATCATAATTGATTTCTTCACTGAGGGAAATTAATTAATAAAATGTTCAATATCAATATTTAGTCCAAAATGTACACCATAACCTAAATTTTAGGATGTTATTACATAAAAATAGAAGGAAAAATAATAATTATACTTAACCGTATCTTCATTGCAATGGTGACCTAGCACAATATTTGAGACAATAGATAATTTTATTTACTTTTTATTTCACATTTCTTATTGATAGAAATTTATTTTTAAGCATAGATTAAAGTTGTAATATCTTGATGATATCTTATATTATATTGATGGTTTTTTAATACAAATATGGTTTTGTGATAAATGTTATGAAGTGACTTATATTGTACTTCCTCCGTTCTTTTTTACTTGACTTGTTTCATATATCACGCTTGCCAATGCTAAAATCCAACCATTAATAACTTAAATTCCTAATAAGTTAACATTATAGCATACTTCCTTTGCTCTCTTTTAGTAGCAACAATTGGAAATTTGTACGATTCATGTTATCTCATTTGACCATCTTTGTTGATATATGTTGGGCAAAATATTATTATGCCGGATCTTGTTAGATTTGTCTTAATTTTGTATTTTCACAATATCAAATTTTTATGTTTTTTACTTATCTATAACTAGAGATATAAAAGATTAAAAGGTTGAAGTTATGCATTGGCAAACGTTATAGTCAAAATGTTGCAACTAAAATATAACGGTGGAAGTGGATATTATGATACGATTTATTGAGATAATTTTAAATAAACTTCACATGTATATATTTCCTTACTTATGTATACACTTTATAAAGGTGAGAATACCTAAAATTAATAGTAATTTTGCCATGTAGGCATTACTTTCCTATATATAGATTGACATAAATAATCTCAAACTTTCAACCATCTTCCAAAAATAATCCCAATATTTGATTATTCTTGAATAATCCCAACATATTTAGATATTTTATTTTAAAATAATCCAAACTTTTGTTTTTGTTATAAATAATAACCAAAAGGGATCAACAAAAGAAAAAAAAAAAAAAAAAAAAAAAAGAAGGATGACTGAAATTTGGGATTATTCATGTCAAATGTTTCTATATTTTCTGTTTTTTCTTTTCCTTACTTTTTTTTTTATTTATAATTTTTTTTTACTATTACATCATTTGTTACTTGTCCTTTTCTTTTCTTTAATTTTTTTTTGCTTGTTTTCCAAAAATTTGTTTCTTTTGTATTTTTTTAGCTTAGGAAGAGTGTTACCTCTATAAATAATAAGTGAAATATTATTGATCTACTAATCACATTCTTATGTTGTATAGGGTGAGAACTAAGAATAATTCATTATTTTTATAACTCAAAATATGTAAAACTATTGCATGTATTTTGAGAAAAAGAATAATAAACTTTTATTATATTTTAAATATGTTTTTTTTGACGTTTTTTCTTCCCCTACCGAGTATCGTATTTGAAATTTCTCATATGAGTCGACCAAACATATGTGTTTTATAGACTACACTTGCTCCCATACCCATCAATCAAATTAACATTTTTTTTCCTACAAACTATTTGCACAATGTATTAACATTTCTAGCATAAGCAAATTGGTACAAGCATAATGCTAACAAATATGCATCATCTACACATTAACCATAATCAAATTATAACAAGTATTTGGCAAAATTGGGCTACAGCACAATATGTTACAAACTAAACAATGATCATCAACGCAAAGCCCATAAATATTAATCACAAAGTTGGGTTATCGCGCACGATGACTCAACTAGTTAATCACAAAAGGCGGACAAAGGTTAGGGTGTGAATAGTGCAAAAGTTAAACTATAAGATCAGAGGAAGTGTATGAACTAAGGAAAAGAATAAGAAATTGAATACATAAAAAGTGATTGGGGTGGGATTTGTACCCTCAAATAAAGGAGAAGGTTACATCAACAAGTTACCACTAACCAACATGTCATCTATAACTTATCTTAAGATTACATCAATAAAGGAGAAGGTTACATCAATATTGACGAGTCATGATTTGGGCCTCTCATATGTGGGCTTAGCGTTGGCCCAGACAAGAGGTTGTTATGGAAAATGAAAATGTACACAAGATCAATAATACGTGTAAGAAAGGAATCTAGCCTTGTATCATTGATCCTGTGTAAATTTTCATTTTCTGTAATAGCCTCATATATGGGCCAACGTTAGGCCCACGGATGAGAGGCCCAAATTATGACTCATCAATTTCTATAATGATGAGTCATGGTTTGGGTCTCTCATCCGAGGGCCCCAACATTGGCCTAGATACGAGCCTGTTACAGAAAATGACATTGCACACAGGATCAATGATACGTGTAAGAAAGGGATCCCGAATCCTTTTCCTGATTTGCTTCCTTTTTAAAGGGTGGATTACATACCATATTTGAGGGGTCAATATGGAAGAAAATCGTCATTTCTTCTGTTTTGATATTCGGATAACTTGTAACAAATTTCTGTATAATATGAGTTACTCGGGCACTGGTAATATAAAATACATCTACTAACAATTTATGTATTTTGTTTGAAAATCAGAGTATGGAGACACTTGTTGATCTATCAGCTTCAACCCTTGAGAAGAGTGATGATGTTGTAAGCGGGTGTGCCGAAAAAGTAAGCTCTGGCTTTTTTAGAGGAAGAAGCTATGCTATTCTTCCTGTCAATACCTGTGCAAATTTCATGTCTGCATTAACCAATATATTTTTGTATCTGTGCCTGTAGCTTTGAATTGCATTCTGTGTTCATTGGTGTGTAAAACAAATTTAAATTTTGCATGATTTACATCCACATCTCAATTGTATAGCACTGTGCTGTAAATTTAATTTGATAAAGCTTTGATTTTGTGCAAGAAATGTATTCACAATCTGTGATTGAGGCTTTTAGATGTGTGGCTAAAGGCAGAGTATTCTGCTGGTACTTTTGTCTGCTTGCCACTAGTTTTACACATGAAGGTTTATGTTAAGTTCTCGTAGATAGTGCTATTGATTACATGCAAGCATTGATGTTGAGGAATCCTTCATTATTAAATTTGACAAGAGTTGAGATTAAAATGCAATAATTTTTACAATTTATTGCAGTGATGGATTTTTATACTATATGGTATCTATGATCTCAAAGAAGGTAAAATTGTTAGTGTGGATAACGTGAACAGATTCCTACCCTCAACATCGATTTCATTTGCTTATTCCGTGACCCCCTCCCCCCCCCCCCCTCCCACCCTTCGGATGCGGATATGTCACATACGTTTGTTTTGTGTGCTAGTTGCATGCTAAGGTGGCTGTAGGTCTCTAACAGGGTGTGTTAAGTCTCAAGTCCAGTGTGCTTCCTCACACCTCACCTTCTGTTTGTCTGCACTATTGAATCAATTATTTAAGGATGGGAGAAATGCAGTGTTTCAAAATGCTTTGCTATTATGTATGGGAATGTGGGATCATAAGGACTACATTCTAGTGGTCGTCAGTTTTTTAGGCACAAAATAGTCTGGATTGTTACCCTTTGGTGCTACATTGGCTGATGTTTGTTTTTTTTTTTTTTTTTTTTTTTTTTTTTTTGGGGGGGAGGGGGGGGGGGTCAGAAATCTGTCAGCATTTGTGGTATGTATAATCTTGCTTTCCGTTCATGTAAAAAATTATTGCTGTGCTATTTTTTGCTACTGATTTCTGGGAGAAGCACCTTTGTTCTTTTTTTTTTTTTTTATAATTTGAATTTCTTCCTCATCTTTAAAAAAAACTCTTCACTATATACTTAAGAACTAACTGCATAGCCACATTTATTTTTATCATAAGTTTGCAGCCGTTTTCAAAGAACTGTTGGCCTGAAAATCTTATAATGTTATGTATGTCTACTCTCATGTGGATTTTTGTACAATCTCAGGAGATGTACGTGTATCTGAAGAATGGCCCAAATTCCAATAAGTTGCAGTCTGGTTCTTCACTAAGGTTCACTATGTTCCTGCTTTCTTTAACATCATCTTACATCTATTTTACTTGTTACTCTACCTCCTCTTCCTTTTTGTGCATCTTTTTTGTTTTGCTTGGGAGGGGAAGGGGAGAGATGGGTGAAGGGAATCCTGCATTCTAATTTTCTCTTATGGATGTCGATTGCTGATATATATTATTAACTTGCTAATACAGTAATGATGGATTGGTGAAAGAAAACAATAAGGAATCACGTAGGAAGAACAATGCTAATTATGATTTGCAGAAGGAAATTTTGGGATCATTATTTTCAGCTCCTGAAAGAGTAGAGAAGCTACCTAGAAAAACTAGTGTTAGATCCTCGAGAACATATGGGAGAACAGCTGTTGAACCTGTGATCGAGACTAGCATAGAGCAAACATTTGTTGCTTTGAAACCATTAGCAGATTACAATGAAGGTATGCAGCTGGTTATATGTTGAAACTTGATATTTTTTTTCTAAATTACTAGACTAGTAGTTGTTACCTGAGGTCCTGATTGAAGTCTCCAGAAATTGCGCTTTTGTAATGATTTCAGTAGATAGAACTCTTTGTCTGTGCTTTAAAAATGGAGAGCTATGAAATCTCTCTTCGTGGATTTGTGCTTTTGCATTTATTCTAATGAGTTGGTTCCTTAGTTTTATGGGAAAAGTTCTCTTAGGGCCACCTTTGTAAACAAGAGGCTTAACATGGGACTGGATTGCCACTGCATTATACCTTGGTGAACTAATTTTTGTCAAGCGTAAGGTAACCCAGGGTGGTGTTATTGCTTTGCAAGATGTAAACCGATACTAGTTCTCTTAACTTAAATTACAGTAAGGCTATCTGTTTGTTATTAGTGCTGTTTTAAGTGTAATTTCACATTCCTTTCTGTTACTCACTGTTGTATGTACTGATGCTTGATATTTTAGTTATAGACAAATATGATGAGGATAGCTTTCCAGCCCTTCGTCAAGCTGTTAAGGAGTATTGGACTATCATGAAAGAGTACTGCAAAGCTGTGAGTAAATGCAATTAGTGTTTGTAAAGCTTTTATTGTACTTATCCTATGATTTTTTTTCTTTGGTGCCCAATTTACTGGCTTGCTTTCTTGTTACTTTCAAGGAGGCCTTGTCCTCTGTTTACTTTGTGTTTTTCTAGTTTTTATACACATAATTGTTTCTTTAATCTTAAAGGGGTAGGGGTGGGGGACTTAGCCTTTTTATGTCGATGCTTTTTCTTCCTATTGATCTAATTTTCTTGTCCCTTTATTTCTTTTAAAGGCATGCCATTCTCTTTAGGGGGGGGGGGGTGCAATGAAGAATGTGAATGTATAATGAACAAACTTTTTTTTTTTTTACATATTTGATTTCTTGTCAGGCTACTGCTGCATACAGTAAGGGTGATCGAGAGAAGGCCGATAAGCTTATGAAAGAGGTACTGTCCTTGTCCCGGTGTCTGGTTAGTGGTTCTAAATTAACTTTGATATGTCTTAGAGCCTTTTCTTACTGTCTTTGCAAGCTTGCTCAAAACTGTAAGTAGCAACCCACAGCTCCTTTTAATGGCTCAGTATTATCACTTTGTCATAAATTTTTATTTGTTCCTTGAAGACAAATCAATGACTGTTTTTATTGAAGTTGCAATGGAAATTGGTGCAGAGACTGCAGACCCTTTTATTTCCGATTAATCCGATCTTAGCATTTTTTACAAAATTTTCATTAGATTTTAGGTCTTCATGCTGTCTTTCTGTAGACTCCTCTGTTGGGCATTAATATTCAATATATTGTCACATTAGAACACCACCTCAAAAATTAACAATATATATGGTTTGACAGAAATGCCCCTTGCTAATGGTGATAGCATCATCAATATACATTCATAGTTTTCTTGTTGAATCCTTTGCTTATCACAATTATATTCTTTTCCTCTCATTATATTTTTTTCCTCTTGCTAATTCTTGTGCCAAGGTTGTAGATAGATAAAGTAAACTAGGGGTATTAATATTAACATATGGATCCTTTACTATTATTTTAAGAAAGGTGGCATTTTTTTTATTTTTTTATTTTTCTGTTACCCTGAAATGGTATATACAACTATTCTGGGAAAAAGGAGTTGATCTGAAGTTCATGGAAATGCTGACGTTGCTATGCTGCACTTCTGTTCTTCTTAACAGATTCAGAGCGATTAAAATAAGTTTCAATTCTAAGCTGGTCACTGATAAATAATTTCCTGATCCTGCAATCCTGTGAAATCTAGATATGCTGTCTGATTGATTGTAGCATATTTTTGTTACTTATGTTCGTATTAAATGGGACTACATTTGATTGATTGTCTTTGAGGAACCTACACATTTGCCCTCGCTGTTTCTATTTCACCATGCCAATGCAGTCTTTCTTTGAAATTCATTATTAAGAGTTTCATTTAGGGTACTACAGTAAGTTTCCAAATTAGTGGTTTGAAAATGTAGCTTGTACTTACTAGTGCCCTGCACTGATTTATCTTGTATCATGGAGCAGTACTTTATGCATATTATGAATTCTAATTTGCATTTTGCTGGCCGTGTTTTAGTGTCAATTCTACAACAGGAAGGCAAGAGATGCTGATGAAAAGTCTGCAAAGAAGGTTCTGGAATCCAGGTTAGCTAAGATTAAGTTCAAATTGGTTGCTGCTGTTTCATGACACATTACTTCGTTCTTCTGATTTAACAAGCTTAATTATCTGCTACAGGCCAGAGGACGAGGTGTTGCTTGACATTAGTACCCTTGAACTAAAAGAAGCCATTAAACTTCTGAAGCGTCATCTCTCTAATCTCTCAGGCATCCCGAGTAAGTTACAGTTATTACTTACTGCCATTTGTCCTAGTCGATTGGAACCATGTACACTCACACTAAAGAATTTGCATTGTTTCAGCAATTCGCTATCTTAAGGTTTCTGTTGGGGATGATGGTGAGGAGAACAAGAAAAAGCGCCTGAAACGTTTGGTATGTTATATTTTAATATTCATGTTATCCAGTATACCTTGATACAAATATATTTGTTTGGGAAATTTATCATGTCAACTGACTAGAAAATATTCAATTTAAAATTTTTGTTTGTGTATATACTTGTATTGTTAAATGTTGGAAAAGTAGCCACACTGCTCCGCGAGAATATTATATGCAAGGGGAGGATGGCTAACTAAGAGAGTCAGGCCACAGGACCCAAACTAGTTAGCTGCTGTTCCTCTGATACTGTGTAAGCTAAGGGAAAATTAACAATAGATAGTCTTTGATATATGGCCACCAGAATTGCATAAAAAGGGCAGCCCGAGTAGGCAGGATGAATGTAACTTGTGTGATTTTTTTTGTCTGTTGATCTGTTTGTTGACTTTGTACTTATAATCTTGTATACAGGTTTTAAAACTGCTAGAGAATGAATCTATTCCATGCACTGAAGCAGACAATGGAAAAACTATAGTGATTCAAATTGATGAAATCAATCCAAAGACCCTGAGCTTCGCCAAGAAGTAAAAATTTACAATCTCATTCAAAACTTCACTATAATGGTGTTTAGGTCTTTCTTGATGGGGGTACTTATTTTTCATAACTTAGTTGGAATGTATAGCAAATTTTCCTTCATTTTGAAAGTATTTTGTTTTGAACTGAGTTTTTGTGCTGTGGAATCGGCTTATGACCAGATCCAATAATGCTCACAGTAATAGTAAAGAATAGCCAATATCCTCATTGGATGTCTAAAATTTGGAGTTTGTTTTCGCAGTTTTTATGTGTCTCATCTTGTTTATCTCTCTTATGTGGGTTAATGATCGGCCTCCCTTAAAAAATGGGTCGTACTGAGAATTCGCAGAACTTATGAACAATCCAACCAGGCTTGTGCTGTCGAACTCTTGACATAATATGTGATTTGTACTCCTTCAGTCCCATTATATGGCATATTTTTTTCTTCTAACTTCATAAGTATGGAAACAAAGGTAACACTAACATCATATATATGATGATGCGATTGATGCCCCTCACCATTTTTCTCTTCTAGTCAAACAATTTATCATTCGATTTGTGGCACATTTAACTCGCTTCATAGTTATTAGAAACTGTCCAAGCATTTATTGGACAACCAAAGATAGGAGCATTAACTTTTAATTATAATATCATAACACCTATTTCAATTATTTTTTACATCTTAATAGCTTAGTCATACCTCAAAATAAAGCTTTAGTCTTAGCTTTGATTGTATCTAAATTAAGGTTAGTTAACTAAGGAGTTGCTTTTCTAATAAATTCAACATATGTTTTAACAAACAAGTGATGGATAAATGTTAAAAGTGTAAAATAAAAACTTTCTAAATATATTTACAACTAATACATAACAAGCTTCATGCTTCAAAATTCTTGAGAAAAAGCAGATGATCAATTTGTGAGTCTTTGGGTCTCGTTTTTGTCTGTAAGAGTCTCAAGCAGAAGGGGGGGTGCATACTGAGCAGTCCCTTGGTTTTCCTCGGCATCCTGGCAAAATGACAGAATAATACTATCGATGGACATCTCAACCACGCCAAAGAACAGCGTCGCAACAACATAACCCAGGACCCAACATGCCTGCAAAATAGAGAGCAAAAAATCAGGCAGTTGATGCAGCACTTCAACCATTTAGTCCCAGTGAGGTGGAATTACAATAACTTACTGCGAGTCAGCCTCATACAAAATACTCTGTCAGGTTTTCTTGAAGGAAAACAAAAAACTCCGGCTCTCAAGGAGGACCAAGGATATATAATGAACAATTTATTTCATGTTCTATACGTCTATAAGATGGACAGTAAAGTAGAACATGCAGAAAGTATCACCAATGCAACAAAGTGTAGTTTACACACCATCATTAGCAACTAGCAAGATAAAACAGGCAAAACAATTTTTTCAATAATTGGATGTGTTTTTGCAAAGATAATTCGTTTAGGTTTTCCATTTTTCTTTATTTGGATGGAGGTGGGTGGACAACAACTTAAGCCATGAAACATAAAAAATTTCAATTTTGAATCCTTGGCAAAAGATAAAACCTTTATATTGAGCAGACAAAAAAATGAATTTACATACCAGCACTGGGAACAAAGGAGAAGTAATCTTCTTATGGGCAGACTTGTAGTCATAAGTATCCAACATGAGGAATGCAAACATGGCGCTTGATAAGCTAACACAAAATTTTCCAAGAGACAAAATGACATCTCCGACAACATTAACCTTCCCTATTCTCAGTATGTTATTCATAATCAACTCCGTTGCAATAGCGGAAGACTTGAAGAAGCTTTTGCCTGTTATGGCAATCTGCATATCACAATTGCCAAATATAAGAGATCATACCATGCAAGAAGGTTTAAAGATCACAGGTATCAGAAACTATGCTACTCCCTCTGTTTTATAATATTCCCATGTTTTTCAAGGTAGAACTTTGACTATTAATTTCTCTTGACATACTGATATAATAAAATATAAAACAAGTATTCTAAGTACTGAACAAAACAAATTTATCAATATATTTCAGAAAAATTATGGTCAGTTTAATCTTGAAAATAGTTTTGCACCTTAAACCCTAAAATGGAGGAAGTGAATCAATTTTTCATCTGAAGCAGCAGGTGTCAGATAAGGATACAAGGCCACAGGCATCATATCTCAAATCAAGCCAGAACCTACTGGGTGTTCAGATAATTACTGGTCTGATCTCTGGAAAATTAGGGTTTTTATTATTTTTTTTAAAAACAAATTTCCCCTTATTCTCTCCAAAGCAAGGATGTTAATATCCTGTATAGCCACATGCTAAAGTAAAAGGCCATAAGCTACTGCTTTAAAAAATGTCACATTGAGATCTATAAACCTGCCAATTGCTATTGGATTTCATACAGAATAGCCAGGCTGAAAAATATCTTTCATTATCTATAAGGCATTCAATGGAATCAAGAGTAACATCACACATATCGCTTAGCTACATATTAAGATAGCTTTGTAGAACAATTGACAGACATGAACCTGGCTTTAGAGGCTGATCACTAGATATGATCAAATGATGACTTGGAGTTCATGATGTAACAATAATTTATTTAATAATGAATAACATCTAGAACAGTGAACAAAAGCATCTTCAGATACCAAACCTCATTCTAAAGACAGAATATTCATGAATTTCCTAAAGCTATTGAATGGGCCTATTGAATAAAATTGGTAGCTTTTAATTTTTGACTCTGTGATTTCAAGTTATATAATATAAGTTTTTATCATGAAATTAAAATTACTCATAATTATACAAGCCATGTTAAATTTGAAGATGGAGAACAAAACTAGAAACTGCATTTTCCAGATCTGTCTTGATTTTAATTAGAGCTGAAAACTAAAAACTAGCATGAATGCAATTTTAACACAATAAAAAAAAAAAATAATAATAAATAAAGGGATGGTCACTCTTATTTCTACCAAATGAAATAACAGTATAACATAAGACATTCCTATGACCAGCGATAGCTTCAGGCCTTCAACTTTTGGTTTCTGACCCTTCTTTAATGTGTGGTGATCAAGATAAACAAGATTAATATCACCCCAATGCCACTACAGAGGCTCTCAACTATGCGGTGTAGGAGGGTCAGACCGTCATGTGTATGTAGCCCAACTTTTGAGCTAACAGGAAGGTTGTTTCCAATTGATCCTTGAGCTATAGGCAACCTTTTGCTACTTATTTAAACACTGCAGACTGTTTAATGAATCAGTTTCATTAGGATCATTCTACTAAAAAAAGTTAGAGGATTAGTCTTGAGCACTATCAGTGGTCTTTCTAGGTTAGGCTGACAACTTAACAGCTTAAATGAAAATTAGAAGTAAACTAAAAGAAACATGTACCACCTTACCACTATCAGTGGTCTTTCTAAGTTAGGCAGACAACTTGACAGCTTAAATGAAAATTAGAAGCAAACTAAAAGATAAGTACCACCTTACCATTATATAGGCATTACGATTCACTGACTTGATGGTCCACTCAACGCACTTTAAGCAACAATTGGAAGAATTATGGACTACCTTCCCAAACCAATTATCTGGCGTAGTATAGGAAACCTTGAGCTTGCGTCGAATTGCTTCTAGTATAAAGCGGATTGACTCCACAAAAGATAGAACCAAAGAGCCAATAGCAACAGAACCCAAGTTGTATCGGACTAGCCTTTTCATTGAGGCAAAAACAGGTAAAAATGGGATTCTCGACTGCAAAATGCATACAACAGTGAGTCCAAAATAAGTTTACTACAGAAATTTTAGGCTATCAGGTGAGGGGATATCCCATGATGCAATGCAGACAATTTTATATTTTTCATGCAATCCAGTCAGAACTGATTTTTTCTATGCAATTCATCTCATATAACACACATTATACCAAAGCGGAATGGCCAATGCGATGTGCACAGATTGTCAGGCATATATAATAAGAAATCATTTACAGCAAAATACCCCCCTCAATTGATAAAAGAACATTTTCTGAAGTTACAAGGTAAACCATAGCGTTTATTGGCGTATATCAACTCCAAACAAGTTAAAGCAATGAATGTAGAACTATTAATACCAATTTGTAATCTCAATCAAAACAGGCAAAACTACTGTACATCTTAGGAGACATCCTTCAATAGCACGCAATGCAATGTGTGCTATGGTGGAGATAAACTCCAAACAAGTATAAGCTATGAATGTAGAACTGTATAATAGTTTGTAATCTCAATCAAAAGAAGCAAAACTACCGTACAGCTTAGGGGACCATCCTTCAAAAGCATGCAAAAAAATATAATCCATACTCATGCTTGTTATCTAGCACCCAAAAATACTATTAACATATGAATTGAGCATCCCCCCACCCACCCCCTCTCCCTCTTTCCAATTTGCATTAGAACACCACAAGGGCCCTTCCAAATTTAACTTATTAAACAAAAAAGAAAAATAACTGAACATGGGAAGTGTAATTAAAAATTTAAATAGGACATAAAATTGTATGTAGGAAAGGACACGATGACTAGTAATTTTCATAGGGCATTCATATGTTCAAAGAATCACAAAACCACAAGTTCATAGCATATGCCTAAAAGAATTTAGCAATTAATTTCTTACCGATGAATCACCACGAGCCCAATAATAAGAAGCAACAGAACCGGCGATGACAGTGGATGAACATGCTATAAAGAAATGTGTTGCCCAATAACCACCAAACAAGTGAAAGAGGATGGAGACTCCTATGTGAGGGGTATAATGAATGCTATAACCACAACAGCGCTCACAGCTGACCCGGCTTGAACCAAGGTTGTAAGCACAACAGTTGGATTCGCAGTTATTCTGATGAACCTCACCAGAACTGAATATATGCAAAGCAGCAGATACCCATATCATGTAAAAGATGCCAAGTATGGCATATGGTATGACCGGAAAGGTCATTAGAAATCGAACTTCCCTTATAACCTTTGCAGCAACCTGGAACAAATTTAAACATGTCATCAGATAGAAGTGCAACTACAGGCATCACCTATAATTTCAGGTTGGCTTAGCCTAGGTTAAAAAAAAAAAAAAAAAAAAAAAAAAAAAAAAAAAAAAAAAAAAAAACGTGTATAAACTACCCATCGTGTGATCTTTAAAGTTTGTCATCTGCTCACCTAATCAAGTAGGCCACTTCCAGCGGAGTAATCTTTGGCAATAGAAGCAATGCATGCATATTGAAAGTTC